GTGGTCGCAGTCTTTAGTTGTATAGAGGTTGTTTGACCTTGTTTTGACAACTTGGTCATATTAGTAGGAAGACTTAGAGGAACGCACCTATTCCGGAGTCCAATGCATGCATGATCATTTCCATAGTCGGACCGTGGACGTGGTACACTCCCAGACGCTTCACCGGCATCTTCAGTGATTCTCGCCACTCTTAGCACCATACAACAACTCGTCAATGAGACTAGTGAATACGATCCTTTAACTAAATATGTGCTAAAAAGTTGTCGTATCTCCCCTTCTGCCCTGGGCTATTCACATTTCCTATATCCTCCTATCACGCCTTCACTGTTACTATGTGTACCGTGCTTATTTCGATGTAGTGTGGTGTGCTCCTTTGAGCGGCATTCATGACGACCCTTCACACTCCACGCTGTCGTTGTCACCCCCTTCACCCTTGTGCTGGGAATGTTGATCAGAGTGCCATATTGTCACGCAGTCCTCCTCCCCTAGTTCTTATCACAGTCTCTATCTTGTTGCGTAAAATCAGTCTGTTCTCTCTGGTTCACATATTTCACTCGACCCCTGCCATCCCATCTGTGCTACTCGAGGTGTTATTCGCCCTATCCTGCATTTGGGTGATAAATTCGAGGCTAAAGCCTCTGAGTAAGTCTTATGTTCAGGCCTCTGCTTCATGGACTACGTCTCTGGTAAAACAGGCCTACTGCCAGCCAACTAGCCCTAGTCTCCGCCGCATATATCCTGTTTCTATCCCTAATACCAAGTCTATTATTTGTTATGCCTTAATCCAGTGATTCCAAACCTGCGCCGCGGCCTCTGTACAGGGGCGCCGCAGAATAATGTGAAAGCTTTAATTTGAGAAAATGTGTAGTGACTTGCAGACTCATCTATCGCCTTAATTATTAAATATTAATTTAATGTTGATAAAATTAAAAAAATAATGAAGATACACGACGACAGTCATACTTAGGGAAGGGCGTCATAAAAAAAATTTTAATTGAAAGAGGGCGCCGCGACTAGGAAAAGTTTGGGAACCACTGGACTAGGGCATGGGAAGTCATCGATTTGGTATTAGGGATAGAAACAGGATAGACGCGGCGGTGACTGGAGCTTGTTGGCTGACAGTTTTACAAGAGACGTGGTCCATGTAGGAAAGGCTTGAAGATGAGACCTAGTCAGAGGCTTTCGCCTCGAATTAGTCACCCAGACGCAGGGGAGGGCTAATAACGCCTCAGGTAGCACAGATGGGGTGACAGGGGTCGAGTAAAATATGTGAACCAAGGATATAGCAGACGGATCTTATGGGGCAAGAGAGAGACTGTGATAAGACCTAAGGAAGAAGGACTACGTAACAATATGGCACACATTGATCAACATTCCCAGCACAAGGGTGAAGGGGGTGAGAACGACAGCGTGGAGTGTGAAGGGTTGTCATGACTGCCGCTCAAAGGAGCACACCACACGACATCAAAATAAGCACGTTAAAAATTGTAACAATGACGGCATGATAGGAGGATATAGGAAATGTGTATAGCCAAGGTCAGAAGGGGAGATACCACAACTGTTTAGCACACGTTTGGTCAAAGGATCGGCTTCACTTGTTTCTGACGCATTGTAATATAGTTCTACGAATGGCGAGACTCATTGACGATGCCAGAGAAACGTTTGGGAATGTACCATGTCCACGGTCCGACTTTGGAAATGATTATGCATACAATGGACTCCGGACAAGGTTTGTTCCTCTAAGTCTTCCTATCTTTATGACCAAGTTGCGAAAACAAATCAAGCAACTTCTATTCAACGAACGCAGACCTCGACCACACAAAAGGCCACACCATCTTGGTCTTCATACCTTCGATTAAACCTTCATTTATTATAGCAATCTCTGACATTACTTATTTTCGTTTTGAGTAGATTTGCAAAACTCCCAGCAAATCAGATATATGGGATTTTCTCTATTTCGTTTAAGGTGATGAAGTACTGATAGTTGAATTCTCATACAATTATATGAGTAGATATGATTGGAGGTATTGATAAGACCTAGGCTAGGTTGGAACTGCAGTCCACCCTGGACGAGGATATTTTTTTGGAAAGCAAGGATGGGAAATTCAGTGGGAGCGCCAAATCTGCTCTTATCGTTGTGGAACAATTCAAATAATGGTCCCTCATCATCTTAAACTAAATAGGGTGAATACAGCTCTTCTATGTCTCTTTATCCAACGAAAGTATAACTTGACAATATTAGAGGCCATATTATCTTGACCTTCATACCTTCGACTTAATATGGTTCACTTTACCGTCAAACGGTATGATTATATATCCCATTGATTTATTTTCTTGCTCCCTGAAATTATTTCTTTTATTTTTATCATATAAGCACCCTTTTGAGTCTTCTACCATACTGTTCCTACAACATGCTGCTTTTTATCCAGATTCACATATTTTCACCTTTTTTACTTATCTTTAAATTTTATCTTATTTTTGAGCACTCATCTATCTTAATATTTTTTCTCCATAGATTATGACTAATTTTTTTTTATTTCCACAATAGGCGCCCTCCCATATCCATTTTCTACCTTATATGTATTTACTGTATCATAATTAGCTTACTAAATTCTATATCTAAGGGGAAAAATCGTTCTCACTTTATTTACCTTAGGTAAGTGCAATTTAATAATTTTCAATATAACCAATGAAGACCAAGATGGTATGGCCTTTTGTATGGTCGCAGTCTCCTTTCCTCGCATAGAAATTGTTTGACCTTTTCGAAATTTGATCATTTTGATAGGAATATCTAGAGGAACACACCTAGTCCGGAGTTAATAGTATGCATGATAATTTCCAGAGTCGGACCTTGGACGTGATACATTTCCAGACGTTTTGCTGGCATCGTAGTCGGCGTCGTCACAGAGCATTGTCAGTCTGCACCACACTACAGCTCTTCAAAGAGACGAGTGTGGCCGATCCCTTGACCAATTGTCTGCTAAACATTAGTGTTATCTCTCTTTGCTCTGGTCTATTTACCAATCCTATATCCTCGTATCACCCCTTACCTATCACAATTTCTTGATTGCTTATTTAAATATGGCACGGTGTCCCTTTTTGAGCGGATGTCATTGGAACTCTCTAAACTCCACACTGGTTTTCTCGCCTCGCCTCCCTTCGTCCTTGTATTTGGAATGTTGATCAGAGTCTGCCACATTATTCCGCAATCTTCATATAGGTCTTATCATAGTCTGTCTCTTGCCCCTAAGGATCCGCCCCCTTCATTTCTGGTTCAGGTATTTCACTCGATCCCTGCCACCCTATCTGTACAATTCGAAGCGTTATTTCCTGCAATTTCTTTACCCTTTGCTGGCATGCTTACTACCGCCTCGCTGAGTGGCCCCCTAAAAATCAAGATTTTCAAGCTGGACGAGAGTCTAACTTGAGGCTTAAGATCCCGAGTCATTCTCATGGTCAAGTCTTTGTTTCATGGATCACGTCTATGGTAAAACACGTCTACTGTTAGCCAAATGGCTCTAGCCACCGCCTCATCTATTAGGCTTATATCCATAGTGCCAAATATATGACTCCCTGTGCCTTAGTCTCTTGTGTGCCAACCCACAAATGTCGTGATTCTACATTATACCTAATCAAAACAAGTAACACGATATATGTGGCAGAGGCTAGGGCTACTTGGCTGACAGTGGATGTGTTTGATCATAGACGTGGTCCATGAATCAAAAGTTTGATCATGATAATTACTCTAGTTATTGGGCATCAAGTTAGTCTCCCATCCAGCTTGATAATCCTGATTTTTAACGGCCTATTCAGCTAGGCGGGAGTATGCGTGCTATCAAAGGCTTGTGACTGTGTGGGAAATAGCGCTTTGAGTAGTATAGATTGGGTAGCAGGGGTCGAGTGAAATACCTTAATATGGAATGTAGGAGACAGGGAGACTCTTATAAGACCTATGGAAAGAGGATTGCGGATGAGGGAGCGATAAAGTCTACGTAGAGTGGGACAGTTCTCATAACCTTCGCTCAAAGGAGCGCATCATGCCACATTTAAATAAGCAATTAAGAAATTGCGACAGTTAAGGGATATAGGATTGATGAATAGCCCAGAGCAGAAGGAGAGATACCACAAATTTTTAGCAGACAATTCGTCTAAGGATCCGCTTCACTTGTCTCTTTGACAGGTGCTAAGAACGGTAAGGCTAACTGACGATGCCGGGGAAGCGTCTGGGGATGTATCACGTCTACGCTCTAACTGGAAATTATCATGCATACTATGGACTCCGGACTAAGTGCGTTCCCCTAGGTCTTCCTACCAATACAATCAAGTTGCAAAAACAAGGTCAAACAATTTGTAATAATTTTAAATTACTACTTTTTATAACTTTTACCATCTTTCCTCAATAATCTCTTCTTTTCAGATTTGCAGCAAATCAAGCCTTACATTTATCAAAGCTCATAGCTTTCTCCAAGGACCATGGTCTGTCGGATCCAAATCAAGATAGTATCCGATCCACCTGTCTTGATAGATGGAAGGTAAGATAAATATTTTGTCTTCAATCGGACGACTCCTATAAACGATTCTGCCAAAATTCATCATGTCATAGTCTCTGAATTGCTTTATTGATCAAAAATTACTATCCTTTCTATTTCTACTGCTACACACCTTTTCCCAAAGCCTCTTTCCTTTGACTTTATATGTCAATAATGATATTCACTTGTAGGTACGAAGAGAAACTGGGTTTCGATGAGTCTCCTGAGATAATATTGTTAGGGTGACTTTCATTTGGTATGAAAGTTCATGAAGAAGAGCTTCATAGATCGATCTCACCAGATGAGGACAGCTGAATCACGTTGTACTTCAACCGTTTGGCTTTTATTCGACGTTCAGATTGATACATTCCACGAGACCTCCTCCCTCGTTTCGAGTGAAAATGGACTGAGCATTCGTCCATTATTTGATGGACATCATCAGTGCTGGGTAAGACTTTTACAGGAATGAGATCCAGCTATGATGATGTTGATCATATGATAGACGAAAGCTTAGCCCGCTTTTACCCGAAATGAGGGAGGAGGTCTCGTGAACTACGTTAACCGGAACGTCGTATAAAAGCCAAACGGCTGCAATACAACGCTATTCAGCTGTCCTCATCTAGTGAGATCGACCTATGAAGCTATTCTTCATGAACCTTCATACGAAATGAAAGTCACCCCAACAATATTATCTCAGGAGACTTATCGAAACCCAGTTTCTCTTCGTATCTACAAGTGAATATCATTATTGACACATTCAGTCAAAGGAAAGAGGCTTTGGGAAAAGGTGTGTAGTGGTAAATATAGAAAGGAGAGTAATTTTTGGCCAATAAAGCAATTTAGAGACTATGACATGATGAATTTTGGCAGAATCGTTTACAAAAGTCGCCCCCAACAATGATATTCACTTGTCAAAGTAAGCCTGTTACAATCTATCCTTTGTAATGAGTGACACGAGGGTCCATTTTTCGTTTATAAGTAGGCTGTATAGACTACCAGAAGATCATTTATATGATGCGTACTCAACCAATTTCGCCTAGGGTGATAAGGAGACTGATAGTAAAATTTTCCCACAATGGTTTGAGTAGACCATACGTTTCCATTGAATTTCACATATCCTCGCTTTCCTAAAAGGCGTTCTCATCCAGGCTGAAAATGACTGCAATTTCGACTTCGCCTAGATCTAATCAACGTCCTGAGCGGGTCTCGAATCATGACGGGGCAGCGCATAATCTCGACGGGTTAACCACTGCCAAATTGTCACGAATACCTTTGGGTCACAAGAATGATGTGAATTCACCTTAAACAAAATAGGGTGAATACACCTCATATAAATGATTTACTAGTAGTCTCGAATACCTACTTATAATTGAAAAAATACGTAATCTAGTCGATTTCTATAGAAAATATAAGTTTGCTTCATCGACATTCCCCCCACAGAATGTGATATAGGAAAATGCTTGGCCTTAATCCAACTTCACATTTGCCATGTGACCCAATAACACTCGTGGAATGTGGCGTAGCGGTTAATATGTTGAAATTACACACCGTACTGCCATGGTTAGAGTTCAACTGAGGGTGTTGCTAAGAGTTAGGTGACGTCGAAACTGCTGTCTACTGCCTAAATTAAAATACTTTTTGGGAAATCAAAGCTATCCGAAATTCATTGGAAACCTAAGGTCTACTTATATCATTGTGAGATAATTCACCTATTAAGTCCCTATATCACCTTAAGCGAAATAGAGTGAATTCACCTCAGTTTAATGCTTTGCGTTATGCCTTAATTTATGTTCTTCAATGCTACCCATTATTTACATATTTTTAGCTACCACTTGTGTTATGCCTTTCCCTTTTTAATGATATCTTCATGTAATAAAGCAAATTTTAAGATTCGGGCATTAAAATCCCATTTTTTCATATTCTTTTCTCAAGGTTCCTCAAGTTACTCGTGAAACCATGTCTTGGCCTCTGTGGTGCGGCAATCGAAGCACTCTAGTGCAAAGTATAATCCAAGTGGGTTTTTAACCTTTTATTTTAGTTGTTTTTTTTAAATTTCCCTGTATCCTTAGCTTCAATTTTGTTTTTGCATGTGGACCTGATATAATTAGCTAAACTAACTTTCAAATATTTTAACTGCATTAAAATTATAATTAAATAGTCATATTACAAATATGACTTTTTATTTTTTTAAAGTATTATAAGTTGGTTAATAGGTTCGAATAAATCGTTTGTTTTTACTTTATCATGCAAACAAATTGTGAGTTACTATCCAGCAAAGCTTCGACATTCTATAATTCCAATCAGCTCCTGCTGGATTTTAACTCTCGATGTGGTTATAATAAAAAGCTTGTTTATATCTTAGATATTCGACTGTTTTGCTTGTGAATAACAATGAGATTGTGATTATCACGAGACGAAAGGTTGATAAAATCTTTGCTGGCCATTATTATCGAGTAACAACTTTTCATTATTAAGCTAACTTTATTTTGAGGAAAGGTGTGATAAAAGGTTTGTGTATCTACGTAACTTGAAGCCTGCAGCGAATTCTATAGTGAAGTATTTGATATGACGCAGGTTCTGACAAAATCAAGATTACGGTAAAATTTGATGGGCTTTCATCTGAGTTCGATCTCATTCTTCTAGTAATTATAAGCTAATCATGATAACTAAACGGATACTTTTTGCTTGTTAAATATACTTTAGCTAACTACAATTATGAAAGGTTAAGAATGATTTTGTCATTGTGTGTGTGCTTTTGAATAACGACTAGTAGCATTTCTGGATAATTGGGAACCGCGTATTAATTGTATTATACCAAACTCTCATCAGAGCTAAGTCTCATTCCAGTAAAATTCTCATGCTAACACTAGGGCAAGAAGAATATTCGGCCTTATCTTACCTCTTATATAGATTCCATTTAGCAAAAGAAAATTAAAAACCTAGATAGATATAGAGTGGCTTAGCTAATTAACTTTTATACTGATCCTGCTTCTTCTGCTTTGGTGTGTGCATGCGTGTATATGTGTGTATATGCTAGAATGTATACGCAATACCGGTCCTAAATCAGAGTTAGCAAAAGGCTAATGTCAGGCTCTGATCATCAAGGCTTAATGGCCCAAGAGAAAGCCCTGGCCGAGACTGGGTAAGTCCGTAAGCAAGTATGGTTGAGATAATGAGATATGAGCTTATAACCATGTAAGTCAAGTTACGACACCACTTGTGCTAAGCTCTCAGTCTAGGGTCATTAACGTTTAACCACCCAAGGAGAGGAATAACTGGTGTTGCGTAATCTGGCAAGTCTGATTTGGTTGATGAGCTTAATCTAACACATTGGACGAGTGGGAGTGAAGCTAGAACCATCACTGAGCAGATAAGTTAAGTTGCCTTCTGTTGGATAGCGGATCAACATCCTCTCTCTCTTTCAATTTATCAACCAAGCGTAAATAGTTCATACTCAACTTTCTACCACCGTTCCTCACATTCAACGTATTTCCTAAGCTATTACTTTTAATAGCCTTTTATCTTTATTTTAACCGCAGACGTACCACAATCAGCAAACCTACAAATTTGAGATCATTCTATTTTATGTCCAGTTTCTACTATATATTCAGAAACTTCTGACCGTTAGGCCTAAACACGGTTGCAATACAACGGGATTCATCCTTCCTCTTCTGGTGAGATCGACCCACGAATGTCTACTTCATGCACTTTCATACTAAATGAAAGTTCCCCCAACAAAGTAATCTTAGGAGATTCATCGAACCCAGTTCCTCTTCGTATTTACCTACTTCCTCTAGTCCAATTTGGTCCTCTAAGGCATCTCGTGTTTTGGTTGGATGTCCTATGCCTTTTCTCTATATTTGCTAAGTTAAGTGGTTGTGGATGACATGTAAAGTGGC